GATGTGCAAAGGGCAGCTCTGGAAGGAGCACTGGCGTGGAAGAGGCTGGTTTGATGAAGCCAAAGTGCTGCTTCTGCTTGTCCATGAGCACTTGGCCCAGACAGAAACCTGGGAGATCAAGGGGCAGAGGTGGACATATCCTGAATTCAGGCAGGAAGAGAGGGATAAAGCTTTTCCAGTGCTGGATCCTCACAGGCAAGGTCTAGTAAAGAAACAGGAAGCTTTACAAGCTGGGAAGGACCCGTCACACTGGGCTTGCCTAGAAAGCCCTCAGCATTCCTGGGTTATTCCCCGTTGGAAGGAGCAACACCCACGTGTTCATACACTTACTGCTCCACGTGCTGGGGTAGATTCACCCACCAATTCCTGAGGGTTGGTTGAGTCCTCAAAGCCTTCTCCTCAGTCTTTATAACACAGGAGCTGAGCTGAAGGCAAAGAGGAGTGAAACCAACTGCAAAGATCTGCTGGTTGGGCTCACACCAGCAATAAGAGAGTGGCCAGAGAAAGTCTTCTTTCTTTCATATTTGTCATTTCTGTGGTGAGCAGTCCCCCCTTCACCTTAGACTTTTATTTTTTCTTTAATGAATGCTTCTAATCTCCATTGCCATCAGAATCTGTTTACCCTTGAAAATGCTTATAATGGTTTCATCTTTCCCTAGTTCTCTTTTCTTCATATTCCCCCTTTCCCCCCAGCAGAAATTTGCTTTCACACTTCTTTATTTCCAGAATTAGTACAGATATAGAAGACAGAGAAGGAAGAGATGACACATAAACAAGGAATTTCTACCAGAGGTTGTTTGCTGGCCCAGCAAGTTCATGGCCTTGCTTTCCAGGTCTGCAAATCCTGGCAGGAGTCACAACTGAGCCGGGTCAGGCAGCCTTGGTTCAGCTCCCCAGGAATCTGCTGAGGACTTCCTGGGCCACTTTAGGATTTTGCAAACAAATAGTTCCATTTTCCCCCTCTCAAGGAGTATCTGCCCTCCATGTGGAGGGCTGATGCAAAGCAGTGGGCAAGGCAAAGAGTTTGATGTGCCACCTCTGCCTTCCCGGGGTGGCATCACCGGGGAGAAAGCACAGCTTGGTTTCTAACACGTTCCAACAAAAAAAGGCTGCAACCTTAAGGTGTGCTGGCTGCAGGAAGGGTGGTGTAACCTGTGGGTCTCCTGTCCCTTTCTCTCGCCCCTGGGCATGGGATCAGTCCCTCCTGTGTCCCCTCCCTGTGGGCACAGTCTGGGTCAGGCTGTCACATCCACGGCCAGCGAGACCTCCCCATCCTGGAGAGGCCCCGTGCAATCTCATTCCCCCCTGCAATGTCAAACTGCAGCTTGCTCTCATCCATCCTCTCCCTCCCAGGACTGCCCAGCCCCTCCCTTCCCAGCACTGCTGGAACAAGCTTCCTAAGGTGAATTTAGCACATTAAATTTGTCTGTGTTATCTGCACTACCCTGGTGTCGGTGCAGGCGAGAATGATGGATATGGTCCCAACCCGACAGAAATTAGGGAAGTTCACACTGTGTTTTAATAGCAAATGCAGTGATTTGACAGTGAATAATGGAGTTGGTCAGGTTCTATTAGAGGCAGATTAGACCATAATTCAATCTCAAACCTTGCTGTTTTAAGCCTTTCTCCCAGACTGTATTAAACCTGACCCAGGTCTGAAGAGGTAGAATGGAAGTGCTCGATGCACAGGATGAATTACATCTCCCAGGGAGCAGAGGACAGAGCTGCAGTCAGACCCCCTGGGACCACAGTGGCAGCATCCCCACCTGATCCTGGGACCTCCAATTCCAGGGCTCTGAGATACAGCAAGGCTGGAAAAATCCTGTGAGGGGGCATCATGACATGGAGCTGGAGAGGGGGCGCAGCCCCACCCAGCCTGGGCTGGGAGCAGTGGGAATGCAGCACAGACGAGGGACACACAGAGCTGGGGGGGACAGGCCAAAGGAGGATCCAGTGGGTCCATCCCAGGAAGGGAACCAAGGGAGGGATGGAGACAAGGAAGGATCAGTGTGTCCTGATTGCAGGTACCGGGCTGGGTGTCAGCATCTCCCTGAACCTTGGGGTTCCACAGCTCTCCAGGGAGAATGCAGGACCCAGGGAAGTGTCCCTGGGCATGGAGAGACAGAAACCATGATTTTTTCAGCGTTGGGGAGCCAGGGAAATGTTTCCATGGCACAGCTGAGCACCACAACCCCAGGTTACCATCCCAGGAATGGTTCTGAGGTCGTTTCCCTGTGGGTGACTTCCTGCAGCTCTTGTTTACCTCATTCCTGCAATCTCCAGCCACACAGTGTTCCCACCACCTTCCAAAGCTCCAGGCCTGTGTTTCAGAGTTTTCCCTGTCCCCACCCTGCCTGGGTTTTGTTTGCTCAGTGAGTGTGATTGGATCCCTGACATGGTGCTGTGTTTTCTGACTGAGAGGAGAATGTTGAATTACTTCAGCAATCATTTATTGAGTGCCTAAGATACAGAAAACCTCGCAGAGATAACAATGTCCTGGAGATTAAATCCTTCATTAGAGAGACCTCACTCAGTGTTTAGGGTAGTAAACATTTTCTCATGGGGTTTCCTCAACCTCTATCCCACCCCACCCCCCCCCCAGCAAGCTGAGAGACTGGACAAGAGATTGGATCATCTTCTCACCATTACAAGGCACAACAGAGCCCAAATAAAGCCATGGAATCACTGTCCTGCCTGGCCATTGGGGCAGAAAACTCCCCATCACCCTCTCCCAACACCCCTGTTGGGCTTTGGCTGAATCTGGTGCTGGAACAACTTTTGGTGCTTGGATGGCCAAGCTGGAGCAGTTTGGTGCACAGGACATGGACTGTCACTTCAGATGGACTCAGCCACAGGAACCCCAAGAAGATGTTTTGCTTCTCTGCTGCTTTTGTGATATCCAGGATCTCCCATGTCCTCTCTGATCTCCTCACCAGGAGTTCACAGGAGCTTCCACTGGAGCAGCTCTTGGAATTCACTTACTCTGAACTTCAAGGCAAACTGGAACCTCTGCAGCAACACAGTGGAGACAGAAAAGGAGAGCCATTTAAAGCAGGAGTACAGGGAGAGAGGAAAGTAGGCAGCAGGGTTTCTTGGCAGGGAAACACAACTCTTTCAGCTTATTAGCACTTTTGGGGTTTAAATCTTGGAACTCCTGAGGGCAGAAGGCACATTCCACCTGGACAAGGCAGCCTCAGACTATCAATGTCCAGGAACTGATGGCCTTGGCAAAAAGGCTGAAGCCCATTTGCCATGAGCCACATCTCCTGGTTTCTGAGAGAGCCAGGGCCCCAAGGGAAAACTCTGGGAAATGCTGGCCCTGGCAGGAGACAGCAGCAAAGCCTTCAGTACCTCTGGAAGGGCAGAGGGGCAGGAGAGATGATCTGTAGAGCTGGAGGGGCTGCTCAAACCCAGCAGGGAAGCAGGGCAGCAGTGCCCAGCTGAAGGGCCAGTGCTGGAAATGCTGCAGCTCCTCCTGCAGTAAAAGGAGCAGGAAGCAAGTGGGAGGTGGAGATTTTCACAGAGCAAAGCACCCCTGGTGAAGGCAAAGGGGTGACCATCTTCCAAGAGATTGGAGGGAGGCACTGTCAGCCTCCCCAGAGACAACAGGGGGGTTTGAAATCCCCCCAGGAACAGATGAAGTGCTGGTCTCCAACTGCCTGGGCAGGGGCAGAGGAGGGGCAGGGACTGAGCTCTGCTCTGGGGAGACCAGGGACAGCACCTAGGGAATGGCTGGAGCTGTGCCAGGGCAGGGTCAAGTTGGATCTCAGCAAAAGGTTCTTCCCCCAGAGGCTGGTTGGGCACTGCCCAGGCTCCCCAGGGCAGTGGGCACAGCCCCAAGGCTGCCAGAGCTCCAGGAGGGTTTGGCTGCTCCTCTGGGGCACAGGGGGTGACTTTTGGGGGATGTTCCCATGCAGGGCTGAGGGTTGGACTGGGTCATCCTTGTGGGTCCTTCCAGCTCAGCACATTCTGTGATTCTGTGATTGTTACCACACCAAATTTATTTCTGCCCTTTGGGCTGCAGGGGCCAGGGCTGCTTTGCTGCTCTCCAGGACTTTTACACCTCTCCATGATCTGCTGGAACACAGAGGCCAAAGATACTGCTCCTGGACACAGAAACCCATCTCCACCTCTACCCCCTCAGGCTGCCCTGGGAAGCCTTTTTGCTCCCTCCTGACCCATCTGTGCCAGGGAAGTGCCCCAGGCAGCGTTTTGTGGAGCACTTGGACACACGTGCTGGTGACAAGTGTGGCACAAGGGCTGGTTCTTGTGACTGAGCTGGGAAAGGTTCCCTGAGGTTCCCCACGTTGCAGCTCATCAGCCTGTGCCTCCCAATGGAATGTCTCCTGGAGGCTCCTCAGCAGAGCAGGCACGTGACGGGCCCTTCACTGCAGCACTCACTGCATGCATACGGCAGCACTAATGAGGGGGGTCAGGGCCCTCACCCAGCTCGTGGAACAGGGGCTTTCTCATCCCTGCTTCATAGAGAGGCACAATAATTGTGTTTATTTCAAATCCACATCATGGCTCTTACAGCAGTGCATGAAATCTTCCCTCCTCCAGCCTCCTGGAGCAGCAGGAATGAATCCCTCGCCTCACACGGGGTTGATTTTTCACAGATGTTTCCAGTGCCCTCTGAGAGCAGGAGATGCAGCAGTTCAAGAGGAGCAGCAGATCAGATGATTCCCCTGAGACGCTGTCACACCTTCATCTGAGCTCCCTGGCCCTGAGGGGTTCTGTGCTGGGATGGCCAAAGGCTGCAGGAGTCAGACCCCTGTGAGGAGGCTGCTCTTGTGGTGCTCCCTTGACTCGTGGCATCATCCCCAGCCCTGGCCAACACCTAAATCTGGAGCTGCAGACCCACAGAATCCCAGGATGGGTTGGGTTGAAAGGGACCTTAAAGGTCATCTCATTCCACCCCCTGTCATGGGCAGGGACACCTTCCACTGTCCCAGGTTGCTCCCAGCCCTGTCCAACCTGGCCTTGGACACTTCCAGGGATCCAGGGGCAGCCACAGCTTCTCTGGGCAACCTGTGCCCAGCCAGCAGCCACCCACCCCAGCCAGCCAGCAGCCTGTGTGGGTGCACTCAGCAAACCCCTCTCCAGCAGTGACCAGGGAGCCACCATGACCAGCCCTCCCAGGGACACACCACGTGGTCCTGCTGGATGTTCCCTTGTGGGACTGGTGCCACCCCATGATGATCTCCTTGGGTTCCACAGCTTCCCATGACTCCCTGAATTCCCTTCCAAAGCCCTTCAGGGAGCAATTGTGGGATCCTGAGCCTGTTGGAGATGCCAACACTTGTTTTGTCAGGATGGTTCAAATATGGCATGTGCCAAATTAACTACATTTTGCTCAGTGGTGGCAGCAGCCAGGTCTGATGGGGGCATGGAGCTGTACTTGTAAATAATGGTGTGGAGAGGTAGAAGCTGGAATTAAGCTGGAATTACATCCCTTCAGATGGGCATTCCATGAGGGACAGAATGAGACGTGCTCAGTGGAATGCTGAGAGCACTTACACTGCTAAACCCAGCATTAGAACAGCACACAAACATTGCTGCCCTGCTCTCTGCAGTCTAAATGGGAGCTCTGGGAGCCCAAAAAGGTGGGAGGTGGGGGAAAAACAGCCATTTCCTGGATGCTACTGATGTCTCTGAGGGAATGCAGCTCCCACAGAAGCAGCAGGTCAGTGTGTGGCAACAGGGGGAACCAGCTGGGACCTCCCCAGCTCCCAGGACATCCAACCTGCGGCAACATGGGACTCCTCGTGCTTCCCCTGGACAGAAACTGCCTGAGGGATACAAATCCAGCTGGGACCTGAGCATGCCCCAAGGTCAGGGAGAGGAGACTGTTTGCACTGTGCTCCAGTGGCTCTTTTGGTGTCATCTCCAGCCCCACCTTCTCCAGCAGCACCCGCTGCCTTCAGGGACCTGGGGAAACATGGAAGATAGGAAAATACATTCTTAATTCCAGTCATAAACCTGTCCAGAAGGTTGGGATGGAGGCAATCAGTGATGGCATCAGGGCAAAACGACATATTTACAGTGGCAGGGCAACAGGGGAGGAATTTTTTGGCAACGCTGCTCAGAATCCGTGGCATCCTCACTGGGAGCATCAGGATTTCTGCTGCTAATTCCCAACATTGCAGCAAATACAGGGGGGTTGTAGCATTACATGTGCTCTCAGGGGACAACTCTCTAGCCAGGAAAGAGTGGCAAGTGAAATCCAAACCTCCTGCTGCCTCCTCTGAGTCTCTGGAGTCTGCAGTGTGTCCAAGTGTGCTGGGAAGGCAAAGGAAAACAAAGACTAGTGGGATACCATCCAGTGGATTGGGTTTTGGAGGAGTAGACTGGAAAATAACCTTTCAAATGCAAAGGTCCCCTGCTGCAGAACTGTGCCCTCACACCTCTTACCTGGGAACTGGTTTTTAGTTTCAGCTTTTTGTTGATTCAGCAGATGTTGCTGGGTTTGAGCAGATGGGTCTGTGGGGCTTCTTCCCCCTCAATCCTGGAGTCTTCCTACATGAGAGCACAGTGGGCAGCCCCAACACACTTCTCCATAAAGAACAGGCAGTGCTGCTTCCCTAAAACTGATGGAAATTTGCAGAAGTCAAGATTTTTATTTAAAATCGGGGGGGAGGAGTGTCCCCACATGAAAATATCCACTTTTTCCCTCTGTGCTTTTTCTAGTTGTAAAGAACTGTGAGCAAAGAACAAATGAGCCCAAGGAGGGTCTGATGGATTGGGAAAGAAGGGAGATTTCGGGAGCTCCAGATCCCTGTGGTCGCTCAGAGTTCTGTGGGGACATGAAACGAGGAGTCAGCTGGGAATTCCACCCAGTCCTGGTGCTTCTGGCCTACTTATGATGGGGTTAATTCCAGTGACAGTCATTGCCTGCAAGCTTAGGGACAGCCCCAAACATCCCTGGGTTAAGGGCTGGCAAGGTGGAGCTGTCAGCCCACCCAGCAGGCAGCATTTCCCTCTTTGTCCCTGTTTCCATCCCCTCACTCTGCTCCTGTCTCCTTGCAGCCTTTCTGGACCCTCCTTGCTCTGCCTTCCCTGTGTCCTCAGCACCCCTGGGCACATCCAGCTGGTTCCCCAGGACTCCTGGGGCACTCCAAGGGCTGTTTGTCCCCACAGCTGGGTGGGGTGTCCAGCTTTTGCTGCAGTAAATGGCACCTGGAAATGCTCCTCAAAGGACTGGGACAGTCTCAGGGCCCATCACTGTGGCCAAATACACTGACTGGGAAAAGGTGGAGCTTCCTCCTGCTTCTTCCCAGCTCTGCTCTCTGGATTTCCTCTGGAAATGCTCCCGCTGAGGGAGCCAGAAGACCTTAAAAACAAGGAGAAGCAACAGGTTTGCCACTCAGCACAACAAAAACATGGGCACACACACATTCCTTTACCACACTGGCACTGCAGGAGGGACCCAGCAACGAAGAGCAAACCTGGGAGCACTTCCCAGGCCTCTCTGTGCAGCACAACCCCCCCATCCATACAATGGGAACAGTGACACTTCCCCCCGAGCTGTAGGACATGAACAGTGCAAGGGGATAATTGTGAATTTGGTGAAAATTAGGCATTTTGTGTCCAGAGTCAGTGCCATGTATTAACAAAGCCCATAAACCCCCAAAGATTGGAGGTTTGACAACATCAAAAGCTTGCTGAGAAATAACCTGTTCCTCTGCTCCAAGGTTCATACTCCAGAGATTGCTTTCTCTGGCTGCAGAGACAATATTTCATGGAGTGGGGATATCTGGAGTGAGCCCTCTTGGGACTTGGACTGAGAAAAAAAAATCCCATTCAGTGCACTGAAGCATTTTATAACTGAGCTCCAGTGCAAGTCAATGCCAGGCCCTCACTCAGAGCCAGGAGAAGTCGAGGGGCACGTGTGTGGCACAGCCCAGCTGTGCCCAGCCCTGGGGTGACATGTGCTGGTGTTAACCAATCCAAAGACCTCAGGGCCCCTCAGCACACCAGCAAATGAAAGATCATGAAGCAAATAAAAGATTTTGAAGAGCATTCTGATTTTAAGCTCAGTTACTCCCAGTTTAAGGCAACAGCAGCAATGGTTGTTGTTACTGTAGAAAAGGAAAATTAAATCTGGAGGATGGCACTGGAATAGTTTGTGGGCTGCTCTGACTGTTCAGAAGTACAAACAATCCTCTTGGCTGCCAAATATTTCCTGTGCCCATCAGACCTCCCTGCTGGGGGGAAACCTCTCTCCATCCAACACTGGAGACAAACAACAGCTACTGGGGACAAACAACAAACACTGGGAATGAACAACAAACATTAGGGACAAACAACAAACATTGGGGACAAACAACAAACTCTGGGGCTGTTCAGCCTGGAGAGGAGAAGGTGTGGACACCTCACAGCACCTTCCAGGATCTGAAGGGGCTACAGGGAAACTGGAGAGAGACCCTTCATCAGGAACTGGAGAAAGAGGACAAGGAGTAAAGGGTTCAAACTGAAAGAGGGGAAATTTAGGTTAAATATATGGAAGGAATCCTTCCCTGGGAGGGTGGGGAGGCCCTGGCACAGGTTGCCCAGAGAAGCTGTGGCTGCCCCTGGATCCTTGGAAGTGTCCAAGGCCAGGTTGGAGGGGGCTTGGAGCAGCCTGGGCTAGTGGGAGGTGTCCCTGCCCATGGCAGGGGGTGGGACTGGGTGAACTTTGAGGTCCCTCCCAACCCAATCCATCCTGGGATTCTGTAATTCTATGATTTGAGCCAACCACTCTCACAATTACAAATAAAAGTCTCTCTCCTGAACCCCTTCTCTCTTTATTCACCTTCTGAGGAGCTCTGCACGCTGCCTGGGTCAAAACCATCTCCAGGGAAAAGTTCCCTAATGCCATCAAGCAACCCTTGCATAGTCAGAGGGGAGGATTCGCAGCACCAAACCTGAAGCCTCAAATAGCAGCCCAATTATACTCTTTACTGGTGCAGCTCCACGAGTATCCAGACAAACCACGGGCAAGCAGAGTAATTTGATCCTGATATGCCTGTCTAAACAGCAGAGAGCTCCTCAGTGCTGTTCTCCCTCGCTTGTTAATTTAACGCTTGATATATAGGAAAAATTAGAATTAAAATGTACCCGGCTGCTTCCTTCATTCCTGATTCCATTTAGGAATATCTCCAATCTCCCCGCAAAAAAAAAATGAGCTAAACTGCTCTGAGACATTTGAGAGCCTGTATTTTATTTTTAGACAAGCCTGTGTGACTTAGGATCCTGAAGTGCCAGGGAGTTTGCACGGCTCTGACGGCAGCGTCCATCACATCCAAATCCCAGCGCTGGCACGGGGGGAGAGGCAGGGCCCTGCTGCTTCCACTCATGGAATGGGTTGGGTTGGAAGGCTCCTTAAAGCCCATCCAGTGCCACCCCCTGCCATGGGCAGGGACACCTTCCACTAGCCCAGGTTGCTCCAAGCCCCGTCCAACCTGGCCTTGGACACTTCCAGGGATCCAGGGGCAGCCACAGCTTCTCTGGGCAACCTGTGCCAGTGGGTGGGCAAGCTCTCAAAGGACCAGCAGGACAGGGACCTCTGCAAGACAACCAGCAAGGTGGGGCTGAATCCCAAAGGACAAATGGCTGGAGTCAGCTGGCTCCGAGGGGACACACGGAGCGTGGGCTGCTCCCTCAGCCATGGGGCAGTGAGGAAAGCAAACCAGCTGTGTGCTGGGCTCGGGACCAAACCAGGTGTGCTGGGCTCGGGACCCAGCAGCCTCCCTCCCCCTTCCCCGAGCTCTCCCCGCAGCAGCCACGAGCACGTGGTGCCTGGAGAAGGGGCTGAAGAGGCAGAGGCTCTGGGAGGCTCTGGGAGGCTCTGCTGGAGGTTCTGCTGCCTCCGCGAGAGGGGAAGGCAAGGACTGCACTGGCCCCTCATTAATCCCAGGAGCTGCAGAGCTCGGGCACCACGTGAGGAAGTGCAAACTTGCACGCCCACGGCGAGCCCGGATCCTTCAGAGGCACTTCTGAGTTTGCTTATTAAAAAATCAATTCTTGGGCTGGAGACAAAACAAAAGAACCACTTCGGTTTGAAGCCTCGTGCGAGAGCCCCACGAGGGGCCGCAGGTGAGCGTTAGTTGGCTGTGCCACAGGGAAGGGAATTCCAGGATACTCAGGGCCCTCTCCACAGCTTTGTTTTTCCCGTGGCCCACAAAGCAAATGGAGAGGTTTCAGCTTGGAGAGCCCGTGGTGGGGATGGGGGATGAGGAATGAAACCCTTCCCTTTGAAAACCCCCGGAGTTACAGCTTTGGCAGGGAGAAAACGCGTTCCCTGCGCTCACTGGGAGGGCAAAGGCACAGGGAAGAAGGGAAGAGAGAGAGAGAGGAGGGAAAGAGGCAGTGAGAAAGTTCTGCATTTAATCCAGATGAGCCAAATGCAGGGGAGGGAGCCCTGAACAGAGATTTCTGCTTGCCCTGACCCAAACACAGGGTAGAGTGTGAGGCAGGCAGGTGTAGAGGTTTGGCTGTGTTTTCAGTGCAGCAGGAGAGCAGGAGCTGTGCAGAAACATGTCCCCCAGTGCCTCCAAGTGAATCACGGAGATCACGGGAGAAATGGGATCCTGGGAGAGGTGTGGAAGGACAATGACCAGGGAACGCTTTATTGTCAAAACCTTGCACTGCAAAAAGTGATAAACCTAGGTTGGGGAGATAAAAAAATAGTGTTGGGACAGATAGGTAAAAATTCTGAGTCAGTCAAGTGATTACTCAATCAACTGATCAAGTGTTTGATCAATAAAAGAGAGAGGAGGACTGTGCCAAGGACTGGCAACGAGGAAGGTGATAAAAAGAAGGGACAAAGGCTGGGAGAAATGTCTTTTAAGAAATGCCTGAATACAGTGCCTCCTCTCAAATAAGCAGCAATCCCTAAGCATCCCCTAATCATTCTGGGAATGATTCCACAGTGTCCACTTGCTCTGGGCAGCACTAAATTGTCCAGGAAACACCCATTTTTAAGAGCACTGAAAGTTTTCTGTATTTCTGGGGCAGACACCCCTTTATTGGAGGATACTGCCAGTGTGTGCCCTGAGAAAAGCTGGTACAACCACATGAAATTATAGCTTGGACATGTCAACCCGACCTCAATCTGAAGTATTTCCTTCTCTGCAAAGGTAAAGGAAGAGATCCACGGATGTCCAAGCACCTCGGGAGCTGGGCAGGGCGTCACATTGATGCCCAAGAAATGAGGACCAGGTCTGGGTGCTGGTGCTGCAGGGAACTGGTGACTCCCCAGGGTGCCCCAGCAGGGATGGGCTTGGCTGCAAAGATCTGCAGCATCTTGTGACATGGGGAAGGGGAAGGGAAGGAAATCCGTGGGTGTCGGAACACGGCCCCAAGTGATCACCACAAGGATGAGCAATTAGTGATGAATCCCAAATCTACAACTGTCACCTCCTTCAAGCATAGAAGGAGGCCAAGTGGTTAAACTCCACTGGCCTGTGTGCACAGAACTGAGCTCTGCTTCATCCCAAACCACACACCCGAGCCCAGAGTCCCAGCTTTGTCTGGGTCAAAGTCCCAACGACAAAAAAGCAGGAGTTCAAAGCTCACACAACTCACCAGCAGGAGCGTTGGCCCAGGGGATGCTGGCAGGGTATCCAGGCTGAGGATCCATGAGCTGCTGTGTCACTGGGGATCCATGAGTTGCTGTGTCACTAGGGATCCATGAGTTCTGTGTCACCAGGGCTGGGCACTCTCTGACTCTGCCTCACTCCCACGGGACTGGGGGAACTGGGATTTCCCCGAGTCTGTTCCCATTCATGCTGGCACGAGGGAACCTCCAGCCTCCCAAACAAGAGCTACCACAACAAGACCAGGCTCACGGACATCAAGCTCCAAAGCAAAGCAAGAAAGTTTGCAAACCAAGCAAGCAAGCAAACAAACAAGCCTGAACATTTGTAAATACGTCACAAATAGATCCATCCCTCCCTGAGCAACGAGCATCAACCACAGAGCCACAGAGGCACAGAATGCCTTGGGTTGGAAAGGTCCTTAAAGATCATGTCATTCCAACCCCCTGCCATGGCCAGAGACACATTCCAGCTAAAACACAGCCCCTCAAAAGCTCTGATGTTAAACACAACTGAAGGTCCGACCTGCCCGTGGTCAACACGTGGTTCCCAACAAGCTCCCCTTGCAAAACCAGCATGAACTCAACTTCCTCAGCTTTCTTACAATTCAAATTCAGCAATTTCAAGGAGCATTGGAAGTTTCTCAGGCAAGGTTTCCCTCTCTTCCTTTTCCTTTCTTTCTCTGCTCTGTCACAGCCTCCGGCAGGTGCTGCTGGGAGGGATGGAGGAAGTGTGAAGAGGGTGAGCAAATAGGAACCCGTGTTAGGCTCTCAAGACAGGGATGATTAATTTGCAGTTAACATCCATTCCCTTCATTATCCCTTCATCAAAGCCTGACAAATGTGAAAACAACAATGAAAAATAGAAATTAATAGGAGTATTAGCACTGGATGCAACCTGCTATAGATTTAATCCCCACAAAAGAGCATAAGGATGTGTTACATCTTCTTTCTTTGTAATGGCCTCATATCCACCCTCCTGTCATTGGGCATAAATCTATTTAAATTTAAAGAGATCTGTTTATATACATGTGTGTGGGGGGTGTCTGTACATGTGCAGGTGGAGGGGTGGAGGGGAAGGTTTTCTCCTCACTTATCAATTAAGGCTCTAAACTAAAGCTCATATACAGTTTGACCTTCTGGATGGTTTCTTTCCAGGCAGAGGCTGCTCCCAGTATCCCAGAAAGGGAAGGGACCTGTGGGACCCCAGTTGGTCCCACCCTGATGGTTCACCTTCATGCAGGAGAACAGAGAGAAACACGCTGATGCCACTGAGCACCATCTGCCCCCAAGAGAGAAGGCATCAGGGCAACTCCTCATTCTAATCTGCACCTCCTTCTCATGCTTTGGGATGCAGCTGCTTGGCTGGGAAGGTGCTTGTGGCCAGAACACCCTGGAGATCTCCCGGAGGGGCTGCGGAAAACGGAGGCTCCCCCATTTCTCTGTGGGCATCTCCTCCAGCCCTGCAGCCACTTGGACATGAACACGTGGGCTGGGAGGCCAAGGGGTGGTTAAAAAGTTGTGGTAAAGCACGTCCAGCGTCCAGGCCAAACCTCTGCAGTACCTCGAGTCAGATCGTGTTGCCACAATGGAGTGGAAAATCCAGGATGGGGAATTGTCCAGGTGTTTGTAAACCCTCAAGAGAAAACTCAGGAGCTGTAAGGAAAGGGGGAATTTCAGTCACTGCTGCTTTCCTCACTGAAACCCTCTTGAAAGAAACGTGAAAAGAGCTCCTCATCTCTCCTTCAAGGTGACCTGCAAATGAAGAAAAATGGGTTTGTGGCCTTATTTTTGGCTGAGTTACGAAGGCCTGAGAAGTTGGCAGGGATTCGAAGCGACGCTGGGATTTAATTTTTTTTCCCCTATTTTTCTATAATTTTTTTTTTATTTTTTTTTTTTCCTGCTAGAAATTTAGTTTTTGTCTTCTCTGGCATTCTGTGGCCAAGGAGAGAACAAGTGAAATCAAACCATCACAAGGGAGTGATGCTGGTATGTCCAAGAGAAGGACTTGTAGTCACACCACCTCCAGCTTGTCTCCAAAGGAGGAGAGGGAATACTTTTGGCTGCAGGGGGATTATTTCCAGGTAGAAGAGAAATCATTTGTTTGGCTTCTGTTGGCCTCACCTTAGTGTTCTAAGGAAATCTCGGGTGAAAGTAAGGCTCTGATAAAGATCTAATTCCCTTTCTCCTTTCACTGCCTGCTGGGGGAGTTCCCGTGTGAGTGGGGCTGGATGGAGAAGAAGGAGAGGTGGAAAAACCCTTCTCTATGTCAGGGAAAAAAAAATGCCTCGTGTTAATAGCTCACAGGGAAGGAAGGAGGCAGGCATTAAAATGCCTACATGGAAATTTGGAGGAATTATAAACAATTAAACACTCAAACCCAGAGGTCTGTAACCTTGCTGGAAACAAAACAGCAAAGAAAGCCTGGATGTGTTAGTGCAGCTACAGATAAAAGATAAACCGGGAAAAATAAAATTTGGGTGAGCAGGGAGTGAAGGGCAGTTTAGACCCTCACAGCAGAGGGGGTCTGGGTTGGGAAGCTTTGCTGGGGAACAGCACGAGGACCACAGGACCACGAGGACAGAGCTCATCACGGACGGGTGACAGAGACCCAGCTCAGCCCTCGAGGACACAGAGCTCATCAGTGATGGACAGAAACCCCTCTGCCTTGTGGGTGTCCTCAGAGGTGGCCTCTGGTGCTGCCTCCCCCTCCCTGCCCGTCCCACCAGGCAGTGCCAGTGCCAGCCCTCGGCTGCCCCGCGGGTGACGAGCGGCAGCTCCGTGTTTCCCGTGTTTGCGGCCTCATTGCAGAGCTGAGATCATTTGAGCCACCAGGACCTGACCCTGCTCCCCTGGGAGACCCAAAATGTGTCACCATTGTCCCTCACAGGGAGGGTCTGGGCACTGGTGGCACCACATCTGACCTCTCTGGGCAAGCCCTGCCAGTGCCAGACTCCGAGATCAGCTCCGAGCGCCAGCTGGAGCATCCCAAAAAACCTTTTACGTTGCCCTCAACCTGATTTGCCCTCCAAACACCACTGCCACAAAACAGCTGGGTCCACACCTTGCTGGGAATGGAGATCCCTGGTTTTCCAGAGGCCTTGTGGGGTTAGAGAGATTGGACACCAAACCTGTCACCAACAGAGACACTCAGTGGGATAGTGTGAAAGACTGTCCACACTTGTAAGAGAAAGGAGTAAAAAATACCTGATTTAACTGAATTTCATTTTTTTTCATTTTGAATTTTTTAATCATTGCCCTTGGGGAGATGTGTCCATCATCTCTTGCTCTTAAAGCCCTCACTTATTTCTATGCCAATTAGATGGCTTTTTTCACCAATCTAAACTTTTCCTGCTGCAAACCAGCAGGCTGGATCCTGGCTGGAAGCTCTAGACAAGCAGTGACAGCAAAAGGCTGGGTGCTCCCAGGGCTTCCTAACAGGGATCTGCTCTGCTGTGTGGTCCCAGCTTCTCAAGCTTTGCCCTCTCCACGCAGCCTGAGAAATGTGAGGGTGCAAAAAACAACCGTGGGAAGAGCTCATGGGATGAGAGACTGAGGAAGAAGGTTGGGGAGAGCATCAGGCAGAGCCCACTGTTGCCCATTTATCCCCTAGACATGCAGTTTGACTTATTTTACACAGACATCATTTGTAAAATCCAAAAATAAAGCGATTTACTCACCCCCCTGGCAGTGGTGCCACGCAGGAGTTCTTGGAGCACCACGGAGGAGTGGAGTGACACCGCTGAGGAAAGAGCTGGGCAGCAGCTGGACCCCTTTCCATGGCCCAGGAGTTGGGGGATCATCCAGGGTAAGAAAAAACAAATTAAGCAGCACCCTGAAAATTGCTCAAATGGGTCATTAGACAAAAGTGTGGAACACCAGCACAGCCAGGATGTGACCGCCTCTGATTTCCAGCAGAAACAAGGATGTGAGTCCCCGACGGGTCAACAGGAAAGGGGAGCCAGGCTGGGCCTCCTCCAGGACCTTCTCCCTTGAGAACCACAAGAGCAACGAGATCCTCCAAAAAGCACAAGTCCCAAATCAAAAGTCAAGCCACCACTAAAGGAAAGACCCGAACAAGATCTAAAACTCTGCTGCTACCCAGAGGTATTAAGCTGTTGGAACTAAACCTGCCTTATTCCCGCTAGTGGTTGCATTTTAAGGGAACCTTTTAAAAGGATTATCTTGAGGAACTCTCTTTCAACAGCCTTTCCTTTCCGAGTCCTTGGTGGTGATAGCACTGTTAATTGTGCTGTGATGTGATTGTGTGTTTGTGCAGGTGGGGTTGGGAGCACGAGGCAGGAGCAGCGTTTCAGGTGTCGCTGCGGGTGCGAGCGCGGGCACTGCAGCCTTTGATGTGGCTCAGAGGGCTGCGTGGGGGACCTGCGCAGGGCAGGGATCCACCTGCCTTGTCACCAGCTCCTTTGATCTGGGGGTGATTGGCTGCTGCCTTTATTTATACCTGGAGTTTTGAAAAAGGCTGGCGAGGACCCCCCGGGCGCCGGCTGAGGCGGCCGCGAGGAAAATTCCGTGCGGATCCATATCCGTATCTAGCTGGAGATAAAGACATATATTTTATCTGTATATAGAGGTATTTCCATATCTGGCAGTCTCTCTATTTACCTGCTCTTGACAATAAAAGAAGCAACTTCTTACACAGCTGTTGCTACTACATTCAAACCAGAAAAAGAAGTTATTCCACACCCCTCCACTTCCAGCCTCGGCGAAGGTCTCCGGGAAATACCGGATGGTTCAGCAGCCTCTGGCTTTGGGAACACGGGCTCGTCCTCCTTGGAACTATTCCTGCGAGGAAGGGATGTCACGCCGGGAGCACGGGAAGAAAGAAGTCACCTCTGTCCCCACCGGGAAGAGCTCAGCCGGGTGGGGGGGGGTTTGTTTTAATCCTTGGAGGTGTTAACGAGAGGGGTTTGCCCTCCAGTCACTACTCCTAAAAGGGAAATTAAACCTCAGATTTAAATACCGTCCGAAATGCAGAATAACACAGCCGTGGCCCCTGGATTTGGGAGGTTGGAGGCCGCCGGGCTGACTCGAAATATCGACACCAATACATGACCCAAAATACGAGCTTCTGCCATCCAGCACCGTATGTGCCTCTCCGCTCCCAAAGGACACTTGGGGAAATATTTTCTGCTTAAATCCAAAGGCTCTGCTCCAGTTCAGAGGGATGTTGCCTTTGCATGTGCGTGGGCACCACATACATCGTGCATATCTCCAGCATGCACAGCCTGGGTGTGTGTTTAAATCTGTGTCCGTGCACTTGGGATATATGAATGCTGTAAATACCTGTACAATATGTGTATATTTTTATTTTAGAGGCAGAGAATGAACTGTTTGTATCACAGAAGCACAGAGACGCAGCACATACATGTTGAGCACACAAACTCCGCTCTCCCTCTGTTAGATATATATACATATAGACACATATAGAACATCTATGTTGCATATATTATTCAGAGATATACACAGACATTTTTTTCCCCCAACTAAACCATTTTCTTTTTCGTTTTGCTAATTTGCTCAGAGTCTGTAGCATAAAATAGGAGCTGGTGAGGGGGGGAGAAGGGAAACTTCACTTTACCTACTTCTAGCTGAATCTCATCTCATTTCTGGTTTGGTTTTTTTTTTTTTTTTTAAGGAAACTTCATTGTATATTCTAGAAAAGTATATTGGTGGGGTAGGTTTACCAGAGGCAGAGAGAATGTGCAGGGAGTGAGAAAGTGAATTGATGGATGGATGGTTAAATGAATATAAATGAACTGATACCTTTACAGGAAAATAACATTTCTTTTCTTTTTTTTTTTTTATTCTATAGATCAGTGGGTTTTGTATCTGTAATTCTTTCATATCAGCAAAGAGGAAATAAACTCCCATGTAAATCATTTTCCCCCCATCTGGAAGCATATTAAAAGCATGCCTTTTTTTTTTTTTTTTCTTTTAAGCAGAGCCTTTTTTTCCCCCTATTTGCTTATCGGTTCATCCACCATTACATTTTAAATGAAATTGCAAGACCCCCCTCTCCTCCTTTCCTCCCCCCCTCCCGCCTCCCAAATTCCGGGCTGATGTCGGAAAGAGGGAATCAGCCTCTCCCATGCTTTAGAATAACTGACCTAGATTCAATTACAGATAGACCCGGCGGAGAGGACGGCACCTCGCTGCCTTCTCAGGGGGCTCTTAAAAAGGGGGGAAAAAAAATAAAAAAAGGGCAGAAAATAGGAAAATTAAACACCCCCAAAAAGAGGGGGGGGGAGATGGGGGGGAGCGGATAAACAACCGGTTCCCACCGAGCGCTGCGGCCGCTCGGGCATCCCCGGCCCCGCCGCGGCCCCGCAGCGCCCGCACCGACGGCGCGACCCCGCCGCTGTCCCGCCGCTGTCCCGCCGCCAGAGCAGGGGGTTGCCCCCCCTCCCGGCCGTGTTTTTGGGGGGCCCGCTTTCCAAAGGGCAGCTTTTGGGAGGGGGGAGAGTCTCCCGGTTCTCCGCGCCGCCTCCCGGGCTGGAGCGAGGGGACCCCGCGGGAGGAGCGCGGAGCATCGCGGCTCTCGCTCCCTCCTTCCCGCCCTCCCCCGGCACCGAGCGGGGGTCGGGGGGTCCCACGCGGACCCTCCCCAGTCCCGGGGGGCTGCGGCCGCACGGGGAGGGAGGAGAGGGGGGTCTCGGGGGCCGGCAAGGCGCCTTGTTTCATTTCCAAGTGGGACCGGGGCCGCTCCAGGACGCGCCGCTCGCAAATATAATCTTCATATTCAGTTCAATGGAGTCTCCTTATAATTTACAGCGGAGAGATAAGGCTGGAGGATGCAATGAAAAAAAAATCTGAAGTCATCCTCTCCCCCCCTGTACTGCGCTGCACCTTGGGCAGCGGAGCAGAATCCAGAATCTCAACTTCTCCCGACATATGTTTCCAGCAGATAAGTAAACAATCTGGACGTGAAATGAAAATTTTAATTAATGCAGTAATGCTATTACACCTCAAGTGTGCAAATCCCATTGCCTTGCACTGTGACAATGGGTGGGGAGGAGGAAAGAAAGCAGACAGACAACAAACCACAAGCAAATTCTAATCTGGGTTTTGCTTTTCACTCGGCTCCAATTGTTTTCATAGTTTGTTTCCTTTGAATTAATCTCATCCTTATATTTCAGTAATTACCAGCTACTCATCTCTTCCCCTCTTTTTCTCACCCACTCAAAGAGCCGGCTCCCGCTCCCTCGCTCTCCTCTTTTAAATTGGGATCAACCTGGATTTAATTTCGGGGCTTTTAGGCGTACACATGTTGCCTTGTTGCAGTGCGGACCTGCACGGACCCTGCACGTTATTTCTTGTTTCGCTTTCCGAGCGCGGAGCGTTCAGTAATAATGAAGTATTTTTGCTCTAATAAAAAAGGAAGGGGAAAAAAAAAAAAGGAATAATAATAATAATAAAGGCTGAGTTGTCCCTTTGATGTTGGTATAAAACACCCCGACTGGAACAGAGGCGTGTGAAGGGAGACAAGAGAGACGGGATGGCAAAATTAAGGACCGAAAGAGGAAAAAAAAAATAATAAAGGGTAAAATACAGACACATCCAAAGCCCCGAGGCCGCCTCGCTCCGGAGCGCGGAGCAGCGCGGAGCCCTCAGCCCGCGTCCTCCCGCGGCGCCGGCTCCTCCAGCCCCCCGAGGGGACCGGGAGGAGGCCGGGCTGGGCTGGGTTTAGCCCAATATTTTAAATTTTAAGTGTTCTGAACGATTGGATGACGGTTTCTGAGGGAGGAGGTGAGGACGCTGCGGCGGGGGGACCCTCCTGCCGCTCCTGCCCGCGGGACCCGCTCCCAGCTCAGCCCCTCGGCGGCCCCGCGGGGTCCCGGCCCGGCCGGTCGGGCCTCGGGAGCGGAGGAGGAGGAGGAGGAGGAGGAGGAGGATGTGTTTCTGATCACCGCTTACTTTTAAACACTACAATCAAGGAACGTAGCCAGGAGGTCGGGCCTGGAATAAAACCGTAAAATCAGAATTGCAATCTTTTTGATGTTTCAAAGTCTCTTTGAATGCCTTTGATACACTCAATAGCAAATTTACTGGGCTATTATCACTAATAAGCAGAAATAAGTAATATCTCTCAGAGACTTCTGTGGGCTTAATGTGTCCTTTAAAATAAAGTTTTTTAACATCACTTAATTCCCCCTCTGTCTTTGTCTCTCCTGCAGCAGAGCTCCCTGGCGATCGCACGGCTACACCTGGGCGCCAGCGAGGGCTCTCCCGGTCCCTTCGCCCCCTCCCCGAGTTCTTTTCTCTTCCTCTCTTATTTGTTATTTTGTTTAAAGGAAGGTCCAGGTGGGTGATTTTAAGTGTCTTGGTGGTCCTGCAGGCAGCACTGAGCCTAAACGGAGAGGAAGAGAAGAGAAGAGAAGAGAAGAGAAGAGAAGAGAAGAGAAGAGAAGAGAAGAGAAGAGAAGAGAAGAGAAGAGAAGAGAAGAGAAGAGAAAGAAGAGAAGAGAAGAGAAGAGAAGAGAAGAGAAGAGAAGAGAAGAGAAGAGAAGAGAAGAGAAGAGAAGAGAAGA